AAAAACAAACAACAAAAAAGAGATTCTCACAGCAAAGCCTGAGAATTAAACCCACAGACAAAGCCTTAATTAACTCAAGGGATTCAGCCAGAACAGCTTGAGGGACGCCCGCGATCGGCGAACGCCAGCTGCATGCACCAGTGTGGAGAAGCTTCTCCATCAACATCTCCCATCAATAAGCTGTCCTGTCGGAAGCATCTGGAGGAAGCTTCGGGTCATTTCATTTAACACACCGAACCTGAAATTCAGAGTTTTCCTATGACTGACTTTAAGTCCTCTTGGGAAAATAAGTACGATCACTTGCTATATTCCATTGGTTGGAACCAAGGCCCAGGTCCCACTGAAGTCACAAGCAGGGGCATGGGGACGCCCTAGGGTGTGTCTGCCACAGCATCACAGTTGGTTTGGACTGACCAGGACTGACTCTTGGAATTGGGGGTGGGGGGGTTCTTCACAGACCTAGTTGCAAAGGGCTAGAATTTTCTTAAAATCAGGATTTTTTTCTTTCTTCCATGTTTTTCCTTTCCTTTCCTCTTTCCTTTGCCCTTTCCTTGCCTCAGGATCTTTTATTTTCTTTTCTTTTTTTTACAAGGTCTCACTCTGTTGCCCAGGCTGCAATATCATGGCTCAATTGTAGCTCACTGCAGCCTCAAACTCCTGGGCTCAAGTGATCTTCCTTCCTCAGGCTCCCTAGTAGCTGGGACTACAAGCATGCACCACCATGCCTGGCTAATTTATTTGTTTTTTGTAGAGATGGGTCTCACTACATTGCCCAGGCTGGTCTCAAACTCCTGGGCTCAGGGGATCTTCCATTCTCGGCCTCCCAAAGTACTGAGGTTATGGGTGTGGGCCACCATATCTGGTCCAGGGGTTTTCTTTTTCATCTAAGAGGAAGGCAGAGCTGAGTCCTGGCAAGAATATCAGTTGTGTGTTGCTGTATCACCAAGAATTCTGAAACTCAATGGCTTAAAGCTACCATCATAATAGTTGCTCACGGTTTGCTGTGTCAGCATTTATGCTGGGCTCGTGGGTATGTTCTGGTGTGGTCCCAGGTGCCATCATCCTGGGACCTTCTGACAGCTCACCGGGGTCTGCATGTCTGAGATGGCATCCCTCAGGTGTCTGGCTATGGGTACTGGTGCTCTCTGAGCACCTGTGTCCCCTGGTCACCTATCCTCAAGGAGACTAGCCTCTTGGTTTCCAGCTCCAGGAGAGCAGAAGCTGCAAGACCTTTGGAAGCTCAGCTTGGCAGTCATACACGTCTCTTCTGATGTCTCCTGTGAGTCACAGCAAGTGACCAGCGACCCAGAGCCTTGGGAAGAGGAAATCAACCAGCCCCTCAGTGGCGAGAGCAGCAAAGCAAATGTACAGGGGTGAAGTGGCCGTCACAACCATGCAGCTGTGTCAGTCCAGAAGAAAGTCATCCCAGAGCCTCCAGGAGTGACTGTCAGGATTCAGGAGAAGGAGTTTTCTTTGTTTCTTTTCTTTTTTTTTTGAGTTGGGGTCTCTGTTGTCCTGGCTGGAGTACAGTGGCATGGTCGCTCCTGGGAGTGACAGGCTCAAGGGATCCTCCCATTTCAGCCTCCCAAGTAGCTGGGACTGTAAGTGCATGCCACCACGTCCAGCTAATTTTTCATTTTTTGTGTAGATGCAGTCTGATTATTTTACCCATGCTAGTCTCGAACTTCTGGGCTCAAGCTGTCCTCCTGCCTCAGCCTCCCAAAGTGTTAGGATTACAGGCGTGAACCACTGTGCCTGGCTGACTTTTCTGCCCTTTCTCCACTTTTCTGTCCCTTCTGTCCACCACTCACCCAGGGTTCTATTTCACCAGCAGCCAATATACTGTTCCCACGTCCTTGCTTCATTTAAATCTGTGTTCTTGGTTCTATCTTCCATGCAGGGTGGGGAGAGGTGGATTTTATCACAACCTAGTCCTAGAAACCGTCCTTCAGGATTTTGCAAAATGACCATCGGTTCCATAGAAATAATAAGCGGGGGGGGCTGGACTTCCACCCATGTTTGCGTCAGATAAATCAAAGATATGACTGGCGTCATAAAATAATGCACAAAGCCAGGAGCCTCTCAACTAATGCAAATAACGCTGTTCCACAGTGAGATGGGAATAAATATGTTACATTTTTATTATAAAACACACCAATTTACTATAAAGTGTAAACATAATACATGAAAAATAGAACTCAACTCCATCGTAAACATGGCTGTTGATATTGCTAGCTGTAAAAGGCATTCAACGTTTAATTAACAGTAATTTTGAGACTATGTGGACGTCCCTTTTTCTTTCTTTTTTTTTAAAGTCGGAGTCTCACTCTGTTGCCCAGGATGGAGTGCAGTGGCCTGCTCGTGGCTGCCCCAGCCTCAACCTGCTGAGCTCAAGTGATCCTTCTGCCTTAGCCTTCCGAGTAGCTGGAACTACAGGTGTGTACCACCACGCCCAGCTAATTTTTTAAAAATGTATTTATTGTAGAGACGAGGTCTCGCCGTCTTGCCCAGGCTGGTCTTGAACCCGTAGGCTCAGGCAATCCTCTCACCTCAGCCTCCCAAAGTGCTGGGATGACAGGTGTGAGCCATCGTGCCCTACTCAGGGCATCCTCTTTGAATAGCAGAGTACTATAGAGTCATTCTGGGCACTGTTGCCTTCTTGGAATTGATGGTGGCTTTGGGGGACTAAGAATGCAGATGGTAGCCACGCATGGGCTGGGCTCTGCCCTAAGTCTGGGGTTTGTGTTCATTCATCTAATTTCTTGACAACACCCCGGGGAGCAGGTCCTGTGGTTGTTCTTAATTTCCAGTTGAGAAAGTGAGGCACAGAGCAGTTAAGAAATGTACACAGAGCCGGGCTCGGTGGCGCAGCCTGTCATCCCGCGCCTTTGGGAGGCCGAGGTGAGTGGATGGCCTGAGTCCGCGGGTTCGAGACCCGCCTGGGCAACTTGGCGAGACCTCATCTCTACAATCAATCCAAAAATCAGCCGGGCGTGGTAGCGCATACCTGTAGCTCCAGCTACTTGGAAGGATCGCCGGAGCCCAGCAGGTCGAGGCTGCGGTGGCCGGGAGCGGCCACTGCACTCCAGTCTGGGCCACAGAGTAAGACTCCAACTCAAAAAAAAAAAAAAATGTACACAATTGCACACACATAAAGGGCAGGGTAGAAATCTAAACTCACCCTCCTGACTGACTTATGTGCAAGCATAATAAGTAAAAAACAGCCCCCTCCCCATAGGGAGTCTTGCTATATTGCCCAGGCTCGCCTCAAGCTCCTGGACTCAAGTGAACCTCCTGCCTTAATCTCCCAACTATAGGCATGAGTCACCGCATCCAGCTATTTTATTTTATTTTATTTTTGTAGGGACAGGGATCTCCCAGGCTGGTCTCAAACTCCTGGGCTCAAGCAGTCCTCCTGCCTCAGCCTCCCAAAGTGCTGAGATTACAGGCATGAGCCACCATGCCCCGCCAAAGCTCTTTGACAATCAAGATCATTCTCATTTCTTTCTAATTCTGAAGGGCTTTGTATGACAACCGAACAGCGGGAGCGCTCTTCCATTACTGCGTGTCTGCGAGCCTCAGTCCGTAAGAGCGTGAGCAGGAATGCATTCTGGACTGGGCCACAGAAGAAAGGGCAAGAGTGGGGGAGGGGACCAACGGAGGGGCCCGGGGGGGCCTTGGAACAGGGCTGGGCTTACCCAGCAAGTTCCCAGTGTCCTTTTCCAATGAGAAGCATGGGGCTCAGAGGTGTTCCCCAGCTTGCTCAAAGCCACACAGCTGGGCTGGGTGGTGCCGAAGGATTTGAATCCAGGTCAGACTCTGCTGACTGCAAGTGCTTTCCACCACACCCGCCGCTGCCCTTGACGTGACCTCACGCTCTGCGCCCCGTGGAGGTGACAGAACTAATGCTGTGAAATCGAGTGGGGCGTGTGTACGTGGGGCCCAGGTTGGAGTGAGACCCAAGCTCTCATCTCAGGCACCCATGAGAGAGGGAAGGAATCCGAATCGAGAGTCACTGGAGAGATAACAGAGAGGAAGGTGTGGCCAGGAACTCCCCGGATGCTCAGCCACGTGTGCACTCCTGTGTGTGTGTGTGTGTGTGTGTGTGTGTGTATGTGTGTGCGCACGTGCACGCGTGTGTGTATGTGTGTGTGTCTATCTCACGGGCAGTTTGGGTTTATGAGTTATGGCTTTTGGTCACAGGACACATCTTACAGTGGTGAAGATATCTGGACTTTAGGGGTATCTACCACCCCCTCTAGTACCATTGTACAGGTGATTTCGCCCCTTTCTGAGTCTCCAGCGTCCATTGTACCATTCTTTTTGTTGTTTTGAATCGAAGTTTCACCTGTCACCCAGGCAGGAGTGCAGTGCCACCATCAGAGCTCACTGCAGCCTCAACCTCCTGGGCTCAGGCGATCCTCCTGCCTCAGCCTCCCAAGTAGTTAGAACTAGAGGTGCACACCACCACTCCTGACTAATTTTTTTCCTTTTTATGGAGATAGGGTCTTACTACGTCACCCAGGCTGGCATTATACGATTCTCAGTGCCTTTGCTGACCCTCAGCTTAGCTCCTGCTGACAAGTGAGAACATGCGGTATTTGGCTTCCTGTTCCTGCGTGACTTCACTTAGGGTGATGATTCAAACTGCCCAGCCACTCCTGCAACTTTGAGCTTGTGCATGTCCCCAGAGCAGCACCACCAGCCACTACACTGAGGCCGTACTCTACCTAGGGAGCCCTGCAAAGCCTGTGTGTTTCTCTGTTGACCCTGTTGGAGTTGGCACCTGCATCTAGGAAACCAGGGCCTGTTCAGCCTGTCTGTTGTCTCTTAGTCCCAGGGATTGCATTAACCCTGCCCCTCCCCAGAAGTCACCTTCTCCAGGGTCAGGGAGGCAGACTGAAGGGAGACCAGAAGCTCATGGGGGTATGAGCTCTCAAATGCAGCTGCAAATCCCCCTTACCCATGATTTACATCTTTTTCTCTTCGTTTTCTTGCAGGAGTTTGTTCAATTGGCGAAGAGGCTGATTAGTGACCCTGTATTAGAGAAAGACATGGTGGCCCGTGGCAAGGAGTATGTGGAACGGCATCACTCGTGGCGGGTGGAGAGAGACACCTATCAGCATCTGGTCGGGATACTCCAGGGAAGTTCTGAGGACTAGGGTGTGTACCATCTAATGACTGTCTCCTCAGAGACTCCACTGGGGATTCTGGTCACGGAGCCAAGCCAGGACATCTGTGCCTATCCTGGTGGAATCCTAGACATGAGGGTGGTGAGTCCTGGCCGCTGCCACCATCCTACACCCTTCTTTGAGCCCAGATGCCCCCAGGGGTGTTCCCCTGTTGGTCCTGCTGAAGGTGCTTGAGCTGAGGGCTGCATGGGGCAGGGAGGACAGCCTGTTTCCATGGAATTTGGGGAGAATTTGATCAGCTGCTTTAAGACTTTGACATGGACACTGGAGGCTCATTTTCAAGCTGTCACGTTTCAGACCCCGCCCCGCCACCTGCCTCTGAGCGACCTCCGCCCATCTCTGCCAGTCTCAAAAGTAAAAACAAAAAGCAGACATGCCAGCTGGAGCACTGAAAGCATTTCAGGCATGATCCTGGGGCCCCGGCAGGCACATGGATGGCCCTGACATCTCTAAACACTAGGATGTGCAATGAAGGAGCTCAGTCTAGCACATCTCACTCTTCAGGTTTACTTGACAGTGGGTGTGCTTTCTAGGAAGATGGCCAGGCTACTCCTCAGCCCTGCCCACCTGCTGGTCCAACTTAAGCTGAAAACCAGGTTGGAACAAGGGTCACTTCACCCACCAGAGTGACTCCAGGATAGAGGCTGGGGCTTTGGGTCCAGGCTGGGTTGTTCTTCCAGCACCAGGGAGCCGGCAGTGGGTGTTGAGTGGGTCACTGGGTCTCCAGCCCTCGACAGGACCAGGACTTGGACCTGCAGGATGTCACTGAGACAGTGTGGTCAGCCCAGTGGTCACCGCAGTGGCGGCCTCACCACACCGGATGTCCTCCCTAAAAGTAGTCTTCACCGTCCTCAAGCAGCCTGGAAAAGCTGCCAGTGAAAATTGAAATCAGCACGTTCCCATGGCCGTTCCGTACAGCGAGTGTATGCTGCCCTGCCTCTTTTTTTTTTTTTTTTTTTGAGTTGGAGTCTCACTCTGTCGCCCAGACTGGAGTGCAGTGGCCGCTCCCGGCCACCGCAGCCTCGACCTGCTGGGCTCCCGCGATCCTTCCTCCTCAGCCTTCCAAGTAGCCGGAATTACAGGCACGTGCTACCACGCCCGGCTGATTTTTTTGATTTATTGTAGAGATGAGGTCTCGCTGCCCAGGCGGGTCTCGAACCCGCGGGCTCAGGCCATCCACTCACCTCAGCCTCCCAAAGGCACGGGATGACAGGCTGAGCCACCGAGCCCGGCTTGCCCTGCCTCTTGGCGAGTGGACAGCAGGCTGCCTGGAGACCCTGAGGCAGGGAGGGAGGGTAATCACCAACCCCATCCTTGCTTCAAGCCTGGACATCTTGGCCTTCTGGCTTTCCAACCATCATGTTTTTTAAAAAGGGCAAAGCCTACATCTCATTGCTAAGAGAAGCTGCCTGAAATTAAACTTCCTCAGCTCTGAGTCCCTGGGGATGGAGTCCACACCGCGTGATCTGACGCCTCGTCCCCCACTTCCGTCATGGAACAGAATCGCTTTCTGGAGGGCAGTTGATGGGAACAGCAGAGACACTCGGATGGACTGGATGGAGCCTTGCTTGTCAGCTCCATGTTGGGCCTGCTGAAGTGTGCCACCTTTTGCCCCTATGGCCCCTCGGGGTCGGGGTCATAGGTCCCCTGTCTGGGCATAGGGGAGGGAGAGAGAGGCAGAGCCACGTCCTCAGAGGGTGGCTCCGTGTAAATCAAGGTTGGCCGTGCCACCTCCCCCCAGAACAGGCCCCGAGTGTCACCCTGGATCCCGCCCAGCCATGCCCCACTCACAAAACACTGGATGTCTGGAAAGCATGACTCTACTCCCCATGACATGACCTTGTAGACGCCTGACCTCGCTAACCTCAACCTCACTCGTTTATGTCTATGAGAATGTGCACCTGCCTAATGCACTTTAAGGAAGGGCGTGCTTTTACCTTAATAAAGTGTCACCATCAGCTGTATGAAAACACCATTGTTTATTCCCACTGTGAGTGTCCTTTGAGGAGCAGACCCCCTGCCACCCACCAGCCCCTGTGCCTTCTGAGGATGGACAGACACATCTAATTAAGATGCATTTAAACTGCCATCGCAGCCGGGCATGGTGGCTCACACCTGTGATCCCAGCGCTTTGGGAGGCCATGGCGGGAGGATCGCTTGAGACCAGGAGTTTTAGGCCAGCCTGGGCAACAGACTGAGACTCCGTCTCTACAAACAAAAATAAAATAAAATGTAATCACCTTTAATACCAAAGTATAGATTTTTAAAAACAAGACTTTTCTATAAGGGTTCTAGAGGGTTTGAGTTTATTTTATGTTTACACATTTTATGTGTAGTTTTTGAGAGACACGAACACATTTCCAGAAAAACTGGAATCCTGTATCATTTAACTACGGAGGGCAATACTTTGTTAGTATTAGTAGCACTGATCACCTCGTGTTCTGTGGCAAAGGCGTGACTGATGCTTGGCCGAAGACCCGATGACTGTGTCACAGCTTCTTCCTGAATGTCATTCTTAACCCTGCCCCTGCCCTCTCCCAGGAAAGCGGAGAGACAGAGTACCATTTTGGTGCATCTTAATGTTTAAAGAAACAGACCGCAGCTGGGCTTGGTGGCTCAGCCTGTAATCCCGCGCCTCGGGAGGCTGAGGTGAGTGGATTGCCTGAGCCTGTGGGTTCGAGACCCGCCTGGGCAACTTGGCGAGACCTCATCTCTACAATAAATCAAAAAATCAGCCGGGTGTGGTCGCGCGCGCCTGTAGTTCCAGCTACTTGGAAGGCTGAGGCGGAAGGATCGCCAGAGCCCAGCAGTCGAGGCTGCGGTGGCCGGGAGCGGCCACTGCCCTCCAGTCTGGGCGACAGAGTGAGATTCCAACCCCCCAAAAAAAGAAACAGACCGCATAGGCGCTCCTCATCAGTGGGGCTGTGTGGGCCCAGCTGGACGTCCTGTGGGCCCAGCACATCTGGAATGGGCTGCAGGATGGAATTTTGAAGCCATCTGAACTCTCAGCAGGTGTCCAGCTCCAGGGGTTCACTGCCTTCCTGTATGGTCCTGGCAGGTTCTGGAGGCTGGCCTTGTCTCCCTCTCACTTCTCTGAAGCTCTCCACGAGACTGGCTCTTCTCATCCGTCTTTCTGATGAGGGCCCATCTGTCTCCTTCCTCCCCTCCCTCCCTTCTTCCTTTCTTTATTTCCCTGTCCCCATCATAATGTCTAATGTTCTTTTAGAGGGTCGGGGTTGCTGTGGGAGCCGTGTGCAAAGTCATCCCCAGGCAGAGCCAGCCGTGACCCAAAGAGCCATTTGAAGCAGAGACCCCCAGCCTTGGCTTTGAGAAATCTGTACACTCGGGGGCCTCCAGACCAGTGGCATTAGATTCTGGGGCAGGGTGGCGGGGGGACCCAGGCTCAAAGTTTCCCTGTGATCCAATGGGCAGCCAAAGTTGACAACTGATGTAACATAGTTCATTTGAACAGGAACCAGGATTTCACAAAAAACAAGGACCATTTAAGAAAAGCCTGCATTGTGAATTTGTACTGAAAAAAAACTGTAGCCGGGCTCGGTGGCTCAGCCTGTCATTCCGCGCCTTTGGGAGGCTGAGGTGAGTAGATTGCCTGAGCCCGCGGGTTC